TATTCCTCTTGGGGTGTGTTTGGGGGGAATGGGGTCATATAGCAAACCAGAAACAGCTGGGCTCAGAGTACAGGTACCTGGGCACTGACACACCCTATATGCCCAGCAGCACTTGAGGTAGAGAGGTCCAGACATCTCTCAAGCCCTGACATGTCTTTTGAAACCTGGGGTTATCTATGTCACCCCCAGAGCTGCTGTCAGTGTCCTTGTTAAGAACAAGTGTCCTATTAGCTTAGTGAGCTTTCCACAGCCCTGCTTAGTCTTCTTTAGAGACCAGGAAATCACATCACAGTGGACTGTGGATGGAGCACCAGGACAAGATCAGGCATTTCTGAGCTGAAGGTCACGGAGGGAATGAAAACGGCCACGCCTCTAACTGCTTGGTCTGTGAAAGCCCGTGTCTGTGTGACGGTCTGAAAAGGCGAGGTTGGGTTAGATGCCTTGCCCAGGGCTGGCTGCAGAGGGGCCATTGAGTCATTCAGGGAAAGTGGACTGTGGGCCAGGCCTGCCTGGCTGTGGCCCAGCTCTCTTGGGGGCTGGCCACCAGCACTGCTGGCTCTGAGCCTTACCCCTGCTGCCAGGGCTGGCATTGTCAGGGTGGCACCCTGGCCACAAGATTGGCTTCTCTCCAGCCCTGGTGGTGAGGCTGAGCAGGGAGGTTGGCCCTGTAGGAGGGCCCACAGGGCTCCGCAAAGAGGGTGGCTGAGGGACGGCAACTGCCTGGGGACCGGAGGCCTGACTTCTGTCTCTGGCTGTGTCCCCTTCCAGGTGGATCATTTTTCCATCTCCAGTATGACATCTAACCTGGACAGACCTGGATTTGAACCCTCCCACTAGCTTACTAGTTAGCTGTGTGCTCTTGGGCAGGTCATTTCATCAATCATTCTGTGCCTGTTTTTTCTTCTAAAGCAGGGAAAACAGCACCCACTCTGCAGGGCTATGATAAAGAGCCTGTCACAGTAGGAAGTGAATGAATGGAAGCCATTATTGTTATCACCCTCTTGTTGGCTTCCAGGAGACAACTGCTGTTATCCAGACCCTCTCCCTTCAGGGGGAGCACCAAAGGGGCTCTCTGAAAGGAGAGTCATTGCCCAGAACTGCAGACCTCCCAGGAGTGCTCTGCTCCATCTCCACCTGCCCCCCAGCTGCCAACCAGCGAGATTCTGGGCTGTGGGCCCTCCCAGGGGAGCCGTGAGAGCGAAAGCTTTTACTCTCGCCTCCTGTACTCTGTGCCTGTGTCCTGGCATGTAAGTGTGCACCCTCTAAAGCTGTGACAGTGGACTGTCCTTGCAGAGGCGGGGACCACCTCTTACTATCTTTCCTTCCCGTCTTAATCTGGCTGTGCAGCAGTTCTAACACAGGTAGAACTGCTCAGGCAGAATTTCACCTCACAGTGATTTGTAACTATCCTAAGAGATCAGCTTTTAAACGGAAGCTGTTCTGCAGACCCCATTTCTAGGTGGGAAAACTGAGGCACAGAGCAGGAGACACTTGCCTAGCATTGTCCCCCATTGCTGTCCTTTCGGTCTTCCGGTTTCTCTGGAGTAGAAGTCCACAGCAGAGGCAAGTGCTGGCTAGCAGCTGGGTCTCACCTCTGGCTCAGGACAGGCCCTTTTACCCATTGGGGCAGCCAACACTACCCAGCTTGGTCGATGGGCGCTCAGTGAGCGGGGACTGGCTGAGGAGGACGGTGGTGGTTTCGTGTCAAGCCTGCAGAACACTAATCAAGGACCCTGCTGGCTCTTGCCCTAGAGATCTTGAATCATGAGATGCCCTCTAGCCCTTCATGTGACAGAAGCTGAGCGTGACTATTTTGCTTTGTAAAGCCTGGGAGCACTGTACCTAGCACACTGCAAGGTGGATCTGGGATCCAGTTTCAGTGCCTCTCATTAGTGTTTGACCTTAGGAGAGTTCTGAAGTCTCTCTGAGCCTCAGGCTCTTCCTGTGTAAAATGGAGATAGTGACACCCACCTCACAGGGTCATTGGGGATTAAAGCAGCCCAGGAGAGGCCTTAGTAGACTGCTCGGCAGTGGAAGCTGTGATTCTGCTGTTAGGGACCCAGAATGCCTCCGATGACATCCCCAGACCAGCTCAGTTAGACAGTGATTCCTTTACCACTTTAAACAGCTGCTAATCTCCCTGTGAATCAGGGGGTTGATCTTGGCTTTGCATGTGCTAATTTTCCTCCCTTTCTTCCAGCGCAGCCATCTGTCCCCAGTGACTTCCCATGCCTGTGCCTCATGCAGGATTCTGGGCTCAGAACTGAAGGGAGACAGGCAGGGAAGCAGGTGCTGACAGCCATGGGATCACTATGCCTTCATGTGATTCCGTGGTGCCACAGGTGCCTGCCTGAGACATTCACACACTGAGCACCTAGACCGAGACCGAAGGGAGAAGGGGTGGCCAGAGTGGCAGGTAAGCCAGTTCGTGAAGGGACTGACCATGCCAAGGAGTTCAGGTGAGACAGTGGGAGTCCAATCCCCCCACCTCCCTTTTTTTTGGGGTACGTAAAACTAAATGTGGTTATCAACCCGACACCTTGGAAGCTTTTCAGTGAGGGAGATGGATCAGGCTCAGCAGCCTGGAGGGTGCACTGAAGGAGACGGGAGCCAGAGGGGCCTGGGCTCGGGCAGGTGGTCCGGAGGGCAGAATGGCCAGGGTTCCTGCCAGCTTGTGGAGGAAGAGAAGGGAGCCACTGATGCCAGGCAGAAGCGGGTGTCAGGATGGTGCTCAGCTGTGCACCTGCCGAGTTCGAAATCCCAGGTCGGGGGGCTGGGTTAGACAGTTGTCAGCAAGGAAGGTGGAATTCTGACCTCCACTTAGGTGGGGGGATGAGGGGAGGGAAGGGACTAGTCCAGAGTCGCACACCCGGGCAATGTGCGTGCTTCCTGCCTGGGCCCAGGGTGCCCTCCATTCTGAAAAGGCCTCAGGGCTACCACAGAGGGGTTGGGGCCCCTAGACTGGTTTTCACCAGGCGAACCCCACCCTAGTGAGGCACCGCACTCTTCCCCTAAGCCAGCGACCAAAGGAAAACTGCCCACCCTAAGTCTCAGTGCAGCTGGTTTTTATTATTAAAGCTGAGTTTGCAAAATGACTGTCCCCTCCCCCAAGAACACCCCCACCCACCTCCAAATTCATCCCTTTATGTCCTGTGAAGGTGAAAACTAGGGTTTGTCTTAAAAATACTCAGAAAGGCTCATGCGGAAATGAGAGAATGAGGAGGAACGAAATAGGCTCAGATGGCGGTCTCTGTGATTGTGTGGGCTCCACCCAGGATTCCTGGACTAGAGGGCTTGGGGGTGGGGCTGGACAGCCCCTGCTCACAGTGCTGTTCCCGAGGGTCCAGGGTGGGCACCAGGAACAAAGGCAACGGCAGAGGCTGAGCTGGGCCTGGACTCTACACCCTGCTGAAGCTGGGCCACAGGCTGGTTTTTGTAAAAATGGTTTAAAAAACCCCAGCCATGAGCACTGCCTTCCCCTGATCACTGCCAGAGGCGGCACCAGCTCCGGGCTTTGAGGTCTGAGGCGTGTGTCCTCCTGTCCTGGAATCACCTCCCTGGAGGCAGGCAGCACCCTGAGAGAGGCCAGGTGGGCTCCTGGGTCCCTCATGTGACCCTTGATGGCCTCTGGGGCCCCGACTGTCTGCCCTTCTCCCACCCAGCCTGCTGGAGGCTCTAGGCTTCAGGAACCCTGTGCAGTGTCTACTCTTTGGATTCCAAAGATCTGAGCTTCTGCAGCGTGGGCGCAGCAGGCTGGAAGTGGATGACGGGCTGGATCGGAAAGGCAGCGAAGCCCTCCTGATTCTTCTGGTTGAACAGACTGACCCTGCGTTCCAGCTCGGGGCTGGTTGGGGCGGAGCCGGCTGGGCTGGGCTGGACAAAGGGGTCTGTGTCCAAGACCCCCTGGGATGGGCAGGGGTCCTCTGACAGGGAGGACAGCAGGTCCTGGACTGTGGTCTCCGCATGTTGCTGCTGGGGTGGTGGTGGCAGTGGCAAGGGAGAGGGGCTGGGCTCAGAGGACAACTCGCGGGCGGTGCTGCAGTCCCTGGAGGAGCACAGTGTCTGGCTGCTGTCACTCTGGACCCCAGTGACGGAGCTGCCAGTGGAGCAGGAGGCGCTCTCAGAGGTGGAGCTCACGCAGGTGCCCTTGCTGCCCAGCTTCAGGGGCACGTCCACCGAGAAGAGGTCAGAGGAGACGTTGGGCTGGTGGACGTCTATGGCAGCCGTGGTGACCACACACACGGCTGGATCTGGGACTCCAGTGCCTGCAAAGAAAGGAGAGGCGCCGGTAACAGGTCACCCTCTACCCCTGTGGGTCCCGATGAGGGCAGATGTATATACATGTCTAGACACACACAGTAACTACTATTTGATACCATACAATTTGGCCACCATCCCTCTAGATGCCACCCCAGCTCACTGCCCTATTTTGCCCTCCACCCCCCGCTCCCCGCTGTAGCTGTCCTCATCAGTTCACCCCTGTAGCTCAAGCCCCTGGCACCCTACTTCAGCTCACACCAAGAGCTGGTCGCCTCTCTAGCTACCAATTTGTCTCCCCAGCTTGCCTCTCTAGCTCACCCCCTATCTACCCAATCTGGTCCCCCACTCTATCTTGGTCCTCTAGCTCCCCCCAACCTGCCATCTTGATCCCAAAGTAGTGTGCCCCCCTAGCTCCCCACTGTAGCTGGCCACCCTAGCCTGACCCACAAACTCCCCACTCTGGTTCCCCATTCCCGATACTCAAACTCATGCCCTTAACTTGCTCCTCTATCTCACTCCAGCCCCCCATGGTACCTAGCCCCCCTCGGCTCACCATGCTACGTCCCCGCCCTGGTTCACACTAGCTCGCCCACCTAGCATCCCACTCATTTGCCCCCTTGAACTCCTCTACGTTGACCCTCTAGATTGCCCTCCTAGCACTCCATTCTAGCTTACCCCTCGCTCATCCCGAGACCCCACTTTAGATCAATACTCTAGCTCACCCCACCAGCTCTACCCCCAGGTCCCTACTCTAGCACCCCACTTAGCTAAACATGCTAACGCCTCATTCTTCCATTTCCCCACTTCCAAACTCCCCCGTTAGCTTGCCCCCAGTATTAAACTCTAGGGAGCCCCTCAGCTCTTCAATCTATCTCACCCTCTAGCTCCCCACTCTAACTCGAACCCCCATTTGCCCCTCCAGCTCACATCTATAAGCCCCTATAACTCCCCCCACTGGATTGAACCCGTAACTTGTCCCCCTAGCTCCCCACTCTAGTCTGACTGCTAGATCCACACACTAGCGGGGCCACCTTGGTGCCCCCTGTACTTCAACCCTCTAGGCAGCCCCTCTATCTCCGCCCAGCCTGTGACCTTTGTCCCCTAACTAGCATGCTCCTGTCTCCCCACTGTAGCTTGCCCCTGAGCTGGACCCCTAGCACCCCACACTAGCTCCCCACTTTATCTCGCCTCCTCCCCCCAGCTGGGCCCATAGCTCCCCAGGCTATCTCTGCAATCTCACTGCACACTCTAGTTTGCCCCACTAATACCCCACTCTAGGTTACCACTCTAGCACCCAGCCCCTAGCTCCCCATCTGGCTCTTAGGTTGCCCCCCTAGCTCACCCACCTAGCCTGCCCCAGAGTTGCCCACTCTGGCTTGACCCTCAAGCTCCTCCTCTAGCCGGACTTGCCTTCATTGCCACAGTCGTCTCCAAGTGAAGCTCTGCTCGGCAGAGGGAAGGCCCGGACCTGCTGGCCTGCTGTAGCTCTGTGGTGGGTTGCCGAGGGTCACTGTGATATATGGTTAAGACCATGGCAGTCCCACCAGGGGCTGTAACTCGTGAGTTATGGGGAAGCTTAAAGACCAATAAATTTGGGAGGAAAGTTTTATCGACTACACCGTGAACTTGGCAGGCCCCAATGCCTGTAACTTTGCAGCCCGGGTTATAAAAATGATTTGTGCCAGAGAAGCCTAAACACAAGCTGATTGGCATTGTGACCGCAGGCACTGCTTCCTCCAGCCTGGGCAGGGGCTGGCACTCCCACACTGCCGGGCTGACCTCCCCGTGCTCCTGTGACTTATCGCTCGTGTCTGCAGGTTAATCCCTGGATGGTGTGGTGTGTGTACAGTTGTGACATGGTCAGCCTCAGAGCCCTCATTGGCCTGAAGGTCAATGTTAGCAACACACGCTGCCCTTTCCCCATCTCCAGAGTGGCCGAGAGTACCCCCAGCTTGTCCAGCCATAATTTCCAATGTCATGTAGATCTCTCCCTCGACACAGCTCCTGGGCAGAGTGAGATCAGCTCGGGGACACCCTGTCTCCCTGGCCCACTCAAGGATGTTGTAACCTGAAACTAATAATGTATGTGACCTATAATGAAATAAATTTTTTTTAAAAACCTGATCTCTGGCTGAACACAGATGAATGTAAAGTTCTGCAGAGGGGTACAAAACGCCACCTGATCACATTTTCAGGTGCAAGTTAGGACTCAGACCTGGGCAGGAAAAGTACCTGGGACAGAGATCTGCTGTCTGGGCTTTGCTGAGGCCCCTAAGCTGAGGCCGGTCCTTGGCCTGAGTCCATCAGAACACAGCCTCCTTAAACCCTGACACAGCCCAAACCTGACAGGGCAAGGTCACCAGATGAGGGTACTTCCACCCAATGACAACACACTACCACCTGACACCTACAAGGACTGATGTGCAGCTTTGGAGGCCATTTGCAGCCCCTGCCCTGAGCATTCCCTGGAGGGTCAGCATGTTCCCACTTAACAGCTAGTAAAATTAAGGCCCTGTACGAGGTGACACAGCTGGCCTTCTGTACCCTGAGCTTAGAATCTGGCTGCTCTGGCCCCAGGCCTGGACTTACTAGCCCAGCCCTGGTGGGCTGGACAGCCCGATAGGAAAGTGGCTTTGGATGACTTTCCTGGGGCTCAGTGTTCTCGTCCATAAAGTAGACGTCGCACTTCCTTCAGGGGTCGTGTGAGGACTGGGGGACCATGCACACAAAGCACAGAGCCCACAGGCAGGAGATGATACAACACACCGAGATCATGTCAAGGCCTGTCAAGGTCAGTCAAGGTGGTCTGGCTAAACCGGTGTCTCCTGGGTTCAAAGAGGTGGTCCTGATCTGAAGTTACCTCCCAAATCATGGGCCAAGGATGGGACTCAGTCCTTGGTCACAGGCTCCAGCTCCAGGAAGCTGGGTGCATACCCTGAGATCTCAGAGGCGAGGGGTGCCCCCAAGGTGGAACTAGGGGAGGCCATGGGCAACTCACCTGGTGAGGGCTGCAGCTGCTCCACAATACCCTCAATGCCCTCAGCTGCCGTCTCCTCTACCACATGGTAACGGCTGCATGGCCTGTGGAGCACCTGTGGGGCCCTCAGCGCCTCCTCCCGTTCCGCTGCCAGGTCCAGGTCCTGCTGTGCCAGGTGTGCCCGCAGCTGCCGGATCTCGAACTGCAAGAGGAAAGGGTTGGGGGCCACACTGAGGGGACCTGGGTGGGGGCATAGGTAGAGTTCGTGCAGAAGCAGGTGGGGTGTGGACCAGTGGTCTGGGACACTGCTCCTGGGGGTTCTGAGCACCCAAAGGCCTAAAGCCACAAGAGCCCCCTCCAGGTAATAAAGTGTGTCCCATGTCTCACCTGTAGCCCCTGGTGAAGTGGGGGAGGAAACAGATGTGCTTTGTGGGAAGCACACTGGGGGCATCAGGGAGACCGGGTTTGAAGCCCCTTCAGGTGTTTGCACTGATGAGGTACAGAGGGGATTACCCAGGGTGCTACCAGCTGGCACCCCCCAAGTTCCCTCTGGGCACCCACTGACCTCTCCGTCCTCTAGCGACACCCGTATGGCTTGTCCAGGAGGGGTCCTGAGGACTGCAGACACTCCAGGCAACAGGCTAGGGTTCTAGCACTTACTGACACGTGGCCTCGTTTCCTTACCTACAGAATGGGCGTTTCAGCCCACAGAACTACCCGGGTGCTTCAATAAGACTTTGCAAAAAGCTGCCCACACTCTGAGGTTGGTTTAATGTTCTTGTTGGGGAAAACTTACAGAGGGGCTTGCAGATGTCTCGGGTTGGTGGCTGATATGGCCGTTCACATGCTGGGGCTTCCCAGGTGCCTGGTCAGAGGCCAAGTTTGGGGCTCAGTGGAACAGAGCCTTTCGCTACAACCCAGCATTCAGAGCACACTGCAGGGCTTCTTACAAACTCCCATAAACCCCCAAACACCAGGAGCAGGTGGGGTCTCCTTGCAGGACTATGCCCCCTCCTAGGTTCCTAACCCTGTTCCTCGGGTGTTTTCATCTCATTTTAGGGGAGCAAACACAGTCACTTCCCTTGCTTCCCGGCTTTCCCTCACCCCACCACCTGCCCCAGTCCAGCCCCACTGCCAGCTCTCACCTGGACCACTCTGCAGCTTCTACGGCCCTGTGCCGGTGTACTCCAACAGGAGTCACGGGGACCCTCAGGTCACCCCTTTGTCCATACACCTCAGTGGGAGAAAACCCAAGCTCCTTACTCTTGGCTGAGGAAGCTGGTGCTCATGCTACCTCCCTGCACAACTCCGGCCTTCCTGTGGTTCCTGGAATCCATTAAGCCGGCGCTGGGTTCACCTGTGCGCCCAGATCACGCGGCCCGCTCCACCTGAGGCAGCCAGCCAGGCACGCCATTACATCAGCCTGTTAGAATCCTCTGCATTGCATTTAGCACCTTCCAATCTTTTTCTGTTTATTTATTTTAATGTTTTATTTTTCTTTTGATAGTGAAACACACAATCAAAGCATTCACTAACACTAGGGTAGCCCGGCAGCAAACTGGCATCGGGGCAACTCCCCAGTGTCAGTGTGCACAGGTTTTGTCTCTGGGACCACGGAGTTTTTCAGCAGGTTCCTCAGCCTGCTGCCTGGGGACACCCCTGGCTGCCTCTGTGCTGGGAGCAGGACAGGAGAGGGGCAGAGGGTCCCTCCCATCTGGATGGAAGGACCTTCACTTACTCATTTTCAGCCCTGCCCCTTTCCCTAGGCCCCTGCCTAACCCAGTGCCCACCCACAGAGCCCTCTGGTTCAATTTCTTCAGAGAACAAGCACGTGGCTCTTGTAGAGCATGGCCTCCTGGGCATGCAGGATTTGACGAAGGGCCTGGGGGTTCCAATATTACACACACAGAACTTTAGCCAGCCCTCCCCTGTGGTCAGCTTCACACTCACCCCCTTCCTCCCAAACTGCCTCAGGGCTCCGAGGGTAGAATTAGCGCCTTTCCCTTCCCCTCTTCCTCCGCAGGCACTTCAGGTACAAATACTCCACTCCTACTCCACTGCTACACTAGCCAGCACTTCCTCATCCACTCTCCCCACTCCCAAATCCACGGAAATCTCTATCCTTGTTGTCCTGTGGGCAGGATTTAAGGAGAGTTTCTTAATTCTCACGTGTTTGAGCTTTTTCTTTACTATGATGATTTCAGTGGAATCTGGGGAAGGAGATCAGAATTTTTCCTTAAAAAAAAAAAAAGGCCTAATTTGTAGTGTATGGTAATCTCTGTGGTGTAAATACTCCCACCATGGCCGATTTCAAATGACCAGCACAAGGTCATGCAGAACTGGGAAGAAGTGTGCGCCACTGGCTCTCAGCCAGCAAGAAGCCCAGCACACCACCGCCATCCTACCACCCCCCCAAACTGTAATCTCTGCACCAGCCAGGAACCGGGCCCCAACCCTAGCCCAAAGCTGAAACAAAACCTGAGCCCTGACACTGAGCCCCAGCCCTAGTCACAGACTGAGCTCTAACTCTGGTCTCAGACTAGGCTTACACTCCGGACCTCAACAACCCAGTACTCAAATGGGGCAGTTGGCCTCAAAGGGTAAGAAATTGGGGCTGTATTATTACAGGGTAGCCTGTGCAGGGGAAAGGGTTCAAGCCACTCCTCTGGCAGCAAGATCTCAGAGGTCACAGGGGCCCATGAGACAGCCCTCTCTGCTACTGGGGCTGGGCACCCACCCCTCCTGCCCAGGCCGATCAGAACTTCCCATGGGCATATCCAGCCCCCTTTCTCCAAGGCTGCTCATCAGGGCGGAAGACCCAGCTAATGGCCTCCCAGGCCACTCTGAACAAATGCATTATTGATAACTTGTAATCGATAAGCTGCCCATGAGTGTTCCATGGGAATGCAGGCCAGACAGCCTGAGGATTGGTCTATACAGAAAGATGTAAAAATTTACATCCAGAGCTCAGCTGGCGTGGCTCAGTGGTTGAGTGTCAACCTATGAACCAGGAGGTCACGGTTTGATTCCCAGACAGGGCACATGCCCGGGTTTTGGGCTTGATCCCCAGCAGGGGGCGTGCAGGGGGCAGACGAACAATGACTCTCTCATCATTGATGTTTCTCTCTCTCTCTCTACCTCTGCCTTCCTCTCTCTAAAATCAATAAAAATATATTTAAAAACAAAACTTACATCCAGAAAAAGGAGAGAGAGGAGGATGGGGGGAAAATAGGGTGTAGGGGAGACGTGAGGCAGGGTCACAGGCCAGCCACCTGCAGCTGAACTCCAGCAAGATGAAAGATGGGACAGAAGCAATAAGTAAAGGAACTGTGGCCAAGAAATTTCCAAATCTAATGAAACACATTAACCCACAAGTTCAGGAAACTCAGAGAATTCCAAGCAGGGTAAATACAAAGACCCCACACCTAAACACCCCGCAGTCAGACTGCTAAAAACGCATGAGAACCACCCCACCATACTGAGGTTTGTGGGGTTCCTGGGGCCTGGGCCCTGGGAGGGAAGGCGCCTGGTGGCTTTGAGTTTTCCATGGCAAACTGGCCCAGTGGGAAAAAAGCCCATCCTGTGACTTGCGGAGAAAGAAAGTGCAGTCACCGCCCTACTTAATGCTTGTCATTAGCTAAGTATTGCTCATCCAATAACCTGACAAGATCCGCCAGCCCCACAGGGAAGCCAGCATGCATTACTGGAGCGAGTGGGCCCCTTCTGCTGGACTGGGCTTAAATGCATGCCGGGCAGGGCGGACCCCCCTTGGGGTGGCAACCCCAGTGCATCTCTGCCTTCAATGGTCTGGGTTGTGGAATGCAATTGACACACCTTGGCCTGATCGATGCACACTTTGGCCAGAGCTCGATGGTTTCTAATGCAATACCAATAATTTTCTTCCATCCTATTAGTGCTGTCTGCACAGACTGCCCTGCCTTCAGACCCATCTGCTATTGGGATGGCATCCAATGTTTATTTCCATTAGTTTTGCCATTGTTGGTAATAATAAAAATCAGGAGACAGTTGCAAACTTATGATTTACGAGCAGGGTGAAGCCGAATTCACACTTGGCCCCTTTCCATCCACCGTTAAAGATGACTGGTAGCTGGCCATCAATTTAAATTATGGCAAAAGGATAACATAAGTTATTCCTATGATGGCTAATTTTATCAGCTAAATAGGTTTGTCATTAAAACTATCGGCTGTTTTACAAATCACTTTCCATGTTCTAAAAAAACACACACTTGACATCCCACAGTGGCAATCTTGAATAAACCAAGTAACAAAGACTATGGTGCTGAGCTGGGAGCTTGTGCCTCTGCAGCAAACCGGGGGGTTCTCTGTAATGAGCCAGCATCAAGTGTTACTCCCAGAGTCCAGATAGAACCTCTTTCCTGCTGTTTCTGACCCACCCAAGGCTCTGTTGACCCTCAAGCCCCAGTGGCCCAGCCTTGAAGGCGAATATTTTCTCGGGGGTGCCAGGCATCCACAGCAAGGCGCATGGATGGAGCACATGGTCCCAGGTTCCCTAACAAGCGGGCATGACCCCAGAACATGAGAGGTTGAAGTGAGTGGAGGGAGAGGAGCAGGACATTCCCCTCACCCCAACTGCCTCCACCAGAAATGTCTGTAGCTTGGGGTTAAGATTATCACCTGTTTCTTAAAGAAACAGGCCAGGAGACGGGCACTTATGCAGGGAGAATCAATCGTCGTGATTATGCCTCTTGCTATATGGGGAGGGGAAAGGGCAGGACCTGTCATGAGCCCACTGGCCTCATTTTATGGATTGGGCACTGTGCAGGTGACAGTTTTCTCCTTGGGCACACAGACCACTCTGTCAGCACCTGGTGCTTTAGGTGTGACTGTGAGACTGAGTCCTGCCCACAAAGTGGTGGCAGAAGCAAAGTCACCACTTTCAGGCCTGGCCAATAAAAACCTGTGCACAATTCTCCACCCCATTTCTATCCCCTGGGTTAAGGAAGAAAATGCCAAGGACCTGTAATTGGGAGAAGCCACTATATGGGGGGAGCTTGGAGGCCAGTGACTACAGAAACAGGGCCTCTTACCCCATTCCTTTCCCCCTGCAGCGTGCTCTCGGCTGTAACATGAGTGACAAATACTCCGTGTGTCGAGCCACTGAGATTTCTGGATTGTCTGACTGAGCTGCTGGCATTGCTCATCCAACAGCAATTTGTACAG